GTTTATTGGAGATAGTCTCAGGGAGTTACCTGGCCCAACTGGCTTCGAACCTCGATCCTCAGATTTCAGCCTCCTGAGTAGATAGGATTACAGGAGTGAGCCACCGTTGCCCATCGTGTACTTAATTTTTTTTTTTTTTTTTGGTCAATCATGGGGCCTGAACTCTGGGCCTGGGTGCTGTCCCTCAGCTCTTTACCTCAAGGCTAGCGCTCTACCACTTGAGCCACAGCGCCACCTCTGGCTTTTTTCTTTTTGCATATGTGGTGCTGAGGAATGAACCCAGGGCCTCATGCATGCAAGGCAAGCGTTCTACCACTAAGCCACCTTTCCAGCCCAACTTACCACTTTTAAGGAAATAAGTTTGTATTCATAAACTGTCCTTTATTTTCAAAGATCGCCTTTTTACAGTAGAAAGAGGAAAGGTAACCTTTACCTTTATGTGTTTATGTGCTGGTAGTTTTACATGCTTATGTCTGTCAAAAATGCAATGAAGGGCTGGGAATGTAGCTTAATGGTAGTGTGCTGGCCTAGCATGCATGAAGCCCTGGGTTCGATTTCTCAGTACTACATAAACAGATAAAGCTAGAAATAGCACTATGGCTCAAGTGATAAGAGTGCTAGCCTTGAGCAAAAGAAGGTCAGGGACAGTGCCTAGTCCCTGAGTTAGGCTCCACGACAGAAAGGGAAAAAAAAAAAAGCAATGAAATTTGTTTTAAAATTGGTCTAGAACTTAATCATTGCAATGTCACAAGAGTTAATTCCGTTTAAGGCCTTTCAAGATCGAATTCATCGCTCTTATTTGCTATATAGATTTTTCTGCAAAGCTGTTTCAATGGTAATTTAAATTTCTGCTCCTGCTTTCTGAAAAGCTCACATCCAAGCTTGTGATCTTTCCTGCAGAGGAATGGGCAGCCAGTTCATGCTTTATTTTGGTGGATTCTTAGAATATTGAGGACTAGAGATCTTTTTGTGAGCGATTGCCCCTGAGCTGAGACCTTTTCAGCGTGGTGCAGACAAGAACGACATTTGAGAGGTTCAAAAGAAAGCTTATTTGGGAGAGGTTATTTTTATTTTCTCTCTCGCACCTACCTGCTGGAGGCATTTGGGGAAACTGCAGTGCTTAGCTTTCGGTTCTGAAGTGATGCGGAGGTGGTGGGAGCCCGCAGGTGTCTGGGAATTCGACTCTTGCCAAGAGAACCTGCAGGCAGGTGTCTGGCGCCGGCTACGCAGTGTTCACATTCCGGCGCACGGGGGCGCTCGTGACACCTCCGTGCCTGCTAGCAGTCTCTACGGCACCTCCGCCGCCACCTGCAGTCTCAACCAAACCTGTGGGTGGGCAGCGCGGGACGTGACGGCCCGAGCAGCCAATGGAGGAACAGGCTTTCGGCCACACTAGCGGTGCAGCCAATGGGAGCCGAGGAGAGGCGCAGAGGGGGGCGGACCCCGCCGCAAGTCTGGCCGAGGCGCGAGGCCCTCCTCCCGCCTCTCCGCCTACTCCAGCCTCCGCCGCCTCAGCATCCCGAGCGAGCCCCGCGGCCGCCGGAGCAGCTCCCGCGGCGGAGCCGGAGCCGGATGGTCAGAGGAGCCCGGCAGCCGCAGCAGCCGCGGAGTCGCCTGGCCCCCAGGTAGGGCTGGTGGAGGCCGGGCCTGGGGATGGGCGGGGGAACGGGGCCCAGAGGCAGCGGCCGGGGCGGCCGAGACCCGAGAGGCGGGGGCGCGGAGCCTGGGGGGGGGTACCCCGGGGTGGGGGCGATCGCACCTCGGGTGCGGGGTGAGGGGCGCGCGTGAGGCAGGGGGGCCGCCAGCGCGGAGTCTGGGGGCGCTGAGCCGGGCGGGGCAGGAGCAGGGACGCGCTCCCGCCGAGGGGGCCCTGGAATGCGGGGGGCGCCCGGGCTGGAGGGGCGGGGCTCCGTGGGCCGTGCGCGGTCGGAAGAGGGTGGGCACGGGAAAGGGGGACCGCAGGCTGGGGGGCCGGGAGAAGGGAGCCGGCGAGGCAGACAATGAGGTGGACGATTTGGGGGAGCTGGCCTGTGACACATGGGGGGGCTGAGCTTGGAGTGAGGGACCAGTAGGGAGATCAGGTTTTGGACGGAGGGGGCATCAGGAGAACAGTGAATCCCAGGATCACTTGATCTTGGTTAAGTAGGGGAAAACAGCATAAGGTGTTTGTCAGGTTAGGTGTGGGCACGGCGAGCCTGTGATCCCCGAGGGTGGTACATTCAGTACTGGACTGGCACAGTAAGGCCCCGGGGATGTGTTCCTGTGTGTTACTTTTATTTACCATCTTATTTGTCTGATGTGCAGACTGACTGGCACAGTGGAGAAACCACCTCGGAAACGGAAAAACAGGTAAGGTAAAATGCTTCCATTTTATTTTTTTCTTTCCTGTTTGCTCTGCTGCCCCTGTGCTAAACTGCATAATTCTGCATGGTCAGTAAATGAAGTTTCATAGCTCCTGTTTTTTGTTTTTGTTTTTAATGAGTATAACTACGTGCAAGATTTTCCTTTTGAGGACTTCAAATTACTGCCTCTACTCATTCTTTTTTTTTTTTTTTCTTTTTCGTAGCATGTGGGAAACCAAATCGAGAAATCCTGGTGGTTTTTTTTTTTTTTTGTCTTTTCTTTTTTGGTACTGGGGATCGAACCCAGGATGTTGCACTTGCTAGGCAAGCACTTTGCCACTGAGCTACATCCCAGCCCTAATCCTGGGGTTTTTGCTTTAGTTATATTTCAACTTCTGTATCTTCTTTGAAAAATGAATATTTATTGAACAGCTACTATATGTCAGGTTTTAGGTGCAAGTGCTTTGTCTTTCCTGTAATTCTTAAGACAAAACAGGGCTCTTTTTACAAAAGAGGAAATTTGCATCTCAGAGAGGCTAAGTATTTGCCCAAAATCACATCCCTAGTAAATGATAGAACCAGGATTTAATCCATGCAGCCTGACTCCAGAATTTAGGCTCTTAATCATTATACTCTATACCTCTAATAACTATACAATTGAAAATAAAATTTTCTCACCTGTAATCACAGCTAGTAGGGAGGTAGAGATCGGGAGGACCACAGTTGGAGTCCATCCCAGGCAAAAAAGTGAAACCAGGCAACAACAAAAGCTGGTGGTGGTGTGTGCCTGTCCTCTCAACTATGCAGGGGGGTGATGGTCCAGTTGATCTTAAAACATCTCAAGGCCCAACCTGAAAAATAATTAAAACAAAGGGCTGGGAAGGTGGCTCAGTGGTAGAGCGCTC